AACGGAAAAGACCTGAGAAGAGATATTTTCGAATTAGTCATGTCCTTATGCTAATAAGTAACTTGCAAAAAAGATTTTTCTTCAACTCGTCTGCAAGAAAACTCCAGCCAAATCTATTTCGACTTCATATGGGTCCAGTTAGACAAAAAAAACATTTCGGCGCAAAATCTATTCGATTTTGTCGATTTAAATTTTAGATAGGAAAGTCTTCGCTCTATCTGTATATAGTTGTTTATATGGCGGCAGACACAAACATCGTTGAGGCATTGTCCAGCACCAGGTGCTTGCTCTTTAGTCTAGTTTTTGTGAAGGCTTGTGTGTAAGCACTGTTTTAAACCGATAAAAGCTTGTCGGATTATTTTGAGCAAAAAAATGCGAAAACGCCTGATTCTGGCACTCGTCACGTAATAAAATGTGAGTGTTATGAGGAAACGGACTGAATTTGCTAATTGTGCGGAAAAAAAACTCTCATATCTACCATTGTCGACGAGAAAAAGCAAAAAGCACATATGCATTAAGCATCTAAACAATTTCTCAATAGAATACAACCTGTATGTTTCATGAAATCGGCTAAGTCTTCGGATTTTTTGCAAAACATTCTTCGTTACACCATAATTTTGGTAAGAACAACTGTTAAAGGTTACAGAGAAGTACCGCCGCCGTTAAAAGCCTCTGCATTCAGTATAGTGCATTGTAACACATAACAAAACTTGAAGAAAGACATGGAATTCGAAAAGCAGCAAATTCCTACTGTACGTGGTTTTCTAAAACTGCAGCCAAAAAACCTGCAAAACAATAAAACGAACATTTTTATAGGACCATTGTAACTGTAGAACTTCAACCTAACCATATTTAGATAGAGCAAAGACTATGTCGTCTAAAGTTAAACTCAGAATGACCGTAACGCTCTGCTATCAAAAATGTCTTCATTTAGTTCAAAGAGTTCTTTTTTTCTTAATATGCTCTATGGAAATGTTTACTGTGCTACGATGTTCTTCCGCCTACTCATTGGCAAGAGCAATAAATTTGCGTTAAAAAACATAGCTTACTTTTTAAGATGTCGATTTTATCGGCATCAAGTGAAGGTGGATCACTTGGTCGACGTTTACGACGATGTAATGATGGCATTGTATGTGTAGCCAATTCATCATCACTGAATAATTCAGATAATACATTTCTTCCAAAATCTGCTGGTGTTACGCCCGGCAACAATAGCAAATTGTGTCCCTCATACATCTGAAAAGAATTTGGACGAAAAATATTTTATTCTTTTTGCAATGTATAGAATTAAGACGAAACAAATAAGCCGCTATCGGGAAAGTTTTAATATGATTCAAAGTACTACGTGTATTTTTTAAAGCATGATGACTCCGTCAAAGCTCATTCTTTTGAATCTGATATTGATTTAGGAAAACCGAACTTCTTTCTACAAGATCACACATGCTCTTCTACTGTGCAAGCGAGCATCTATCTCAAAACAATGACAGATCTAACTTACAAGCTCTTTCAAATATGTACCATTTGGATCAGTTTCATAGTCTAGCTTCTTCTGTTTCATCTGTAAGTATTAAAAAGATTTCGCTAGCCGTAAAGTACTATAAGGGATGGCAGTATACATACCAATTCTTTTGTTTTCCTGCTTCCCTTCTTGTTTCAACACCAGGAACACTTGTGGACAATCAAAGATTGTGTTAGTTATTACTTTTGGCATTTCATTTGAATGACACCGGATACATGGATCATTACTGTTACATTGAAATAACAACTGATCGATTAATTTTTCCGTGGTGGTAACATTTCTGGAGCTCAGAATCGTAGCATCAACTTTCATGAGCACTTCTGCTTCAAATCGACAGGATTGACAAGTCATATGAAATAGAGATCTTAGTGTGACATTAGTGTTTAAAATGGGATAAACACATATCCTTAAGAATTTTAATACCGGGATTTGAATTGCAGTAGAATAGGGCGTTTTATGCAGCAGTGGTTCACAATTAACAACGGTATTTGTATTCCGTGTCGGTTCCAATACAAACTATTCCGCCTTGATCTTCTTCGTACTACCTTGGATCAGTAATGATCTTAATGCTTCCTGTTGCCCGCTGATGTCAGCACTATTTTTTCTAATATTCTGCTGGATCACTGTACAATGAGTGAAACATTGCAATAAAGCATTTTCAAATGAGTACGTTGTAGTTTTAATTTCCCAAGGTTTTAATTCTAGTGGATCAATATAAACATTTAATTCTGGCTTTAACAATGAATTTTCCAGTCTCTTTAAATCACTTAATTTGGGCTTTTGATAGACTCTATAAGAAAGAACCATAATTTACGGGGACTTCCATTTTTTGTTGCAAGGATCAAAAGTACCATAGTATCCATCATAACAAGAAATTCATTATCGATAAAAAATCAATTAAAACTTATTTATACTGGCGGCAAAAAGTATTAGTATGATTTGTTTTGCTCATAACTCGGTAACGAAGGTGTTTTTTAAAATTGTGAAACTACCACGAGAATGCTCGTTGGCTCAGCTGGCTGTGGTAAAATTTTGCAATCACTAGGCCTTTTGCATATAGACTTATGGCTATAACAATAGAAAGGTCTATGGTTTTGGGCAAAAAGAAAGTATTTGTACGATTGATAAAAATCTTTTTTTACGCTATTTAA